GTAGACTATAAGATAACTTTCAATCTTCGGACTGACTGTAATAAAGTTTCTACTATGACATTATATAATAATAAAAATAAAAAAAAAAATAAAAATTTCAAAAACTTTGATTGAAGATATCTTTGCAACCACATAACCAAAATCAATAAGCTTTTTTTTATTTAAATTCTATGGTTCTGTAGAATTCAAGTAAAAAAAGTTTATCAATTTTGGTTATGTGGTTGCCAAGATAGCTTCAATCAAAGTTTTGGTATAAATATTGGCGCAGTGATTAGTAAAATATTTGCTGATAATAATTTTTAATTGTTTATAACTTGTGATGCAGTAATTAGAATTGAATAATTTTGATATCATTCAACTCGCCTCATTGAGACAAATCGAATAGTATTGAAATCATTCAATTCTGATCACTAGATTATGAGATATCACATGTGCACTATAATTGGTACATGTGTTTAAATTTATTAATTTTTTGGTATTTAATTTAATTTGCAATAACTCATAATCTAGTAATAAGAGTTGAACGATTTTGGTATTATTTGATTCGTCTTGATAAGGCGAATCGAATAGTATTAAAATCATTTGATTCTAATTTCTATTTCACATGATATTACTATTTAAAGTTAACTACACCATAATATCCATATCCACCTTATAACAAATATGAAAATATTAAAAACAAATAACAATATAAAAATTTTAAAATATTATTTTTTAAATTGTAACACAGGCAAATTTGTCTGTAAAGATTTTTACTAATTTTTTAATAAAATTTTGAATATTAGGTTAGGGTTTCATAGTTTAGTAGTCTAGGCACCTAACCCTCCACAGACGAGGTTGACGGTTCGATTATAGCTGGTAGTAATTAATTTAATTAATTATCTCTGTAACTTTCGGGAGCTTTCGAATGCAAAACTTTGCGGTGATAAGACTATGTGATGTATATATTTGGCTGATAAAAAATTCTTGGAAGAAGCCCAAGCTATGGAGAAAACTGGGCACTATATATGATATGGATTACAGAAGGTAATACTGCAGAAGGCTGTGCATATGAATTTGTGATTAGCAAGATAGCACCAACAACCCTAAGGTAGTATTGGGATTTTGTTTGAAAGGATAGCTGTATGCAGTATATCCAGAAGTAGTAAGAGAAGTGGTAAATATAGTAAGGGGCTGTGGTAAGAGAATGGCTTTACCAAATATAAAACACCTCTGGTGCAAAGAAACAAGGAAAACTGGCTAAAAGAACCCCAAAAAGCATGAAAGCAAGCACTCCGGTAGTATGAAAATAAAGATGGCTAGTGAGTAATGTGTCGCACAACCTATATGGGAGTCATGAGAGTATGACGAAACATAGCAGAAGCACAGGTCCCAGATTACTGGCTTGTGACAGTAATTAAATGAAGTACTTAACTCCTATTCTAAGAATCTAGACTTCTGTAATACCATACCAATAGGGAGTACTATAAAAGGAGCGGTGGCCTAATTTGGTGATGTATGACGCGAATATCTGGATGATGTGAAATAATACTCTAGTATAGCAGCAGGTGGCTTGAAATATAAGTCTTATAACCTAGCAGCACCTGGCTTGAGATATGGATTAGATCTTTAAAGTAGCTCCCTAGAGACACCAAACTGGAAGCATAAAGAGTGTCTACTCAAAAGATACCAATTTGGAAGTAATACAAGAAACGAATTAGGAGTAATGTAATAAGTGATGAGGGGTGGAAGTTAGTTGGTAGACGTTGTACAGTAGTATATAAGCGGGATATATATGATATAATTAGGTTTGGAAACTATCTAGTGATCTAGTAATTGGTCTAATTACAGGGTGGTTACTAAGAAGATAAAAGTCTCATATAGCAGATCGTACATAGGTATCTAAATTGATAATCAGATAAGCTAATACATATAAAAATATAGATAGTTGTAAATGTACTTGTGATATTTGTAACCAAAATACCTTAGCTTTAATTTAATAAACAGTATTGGGCAAGACTGCTGAATTAAAAAAATAAAATAAAATAAAATTTTAAATATTAATTTTAGCTATATATTTTTACTAAGTAAAAAATATATTTTAAAATCTATTTTATTAACTTTATTAAGAAATATTTTAAAAATATAAAAAAACTTTCAAATAATAAAAGTTTAAAAATTTTTTTCTAAATTTTTTATTATAAAATTTTTTCTTTAAACTTTCTAAATTTTATATATTTTTGGCTATTAAAAAAATCTTTACTTCTAATACAAGTCTTAATTTTTACAAGTTAATCACTAAGAGTCAAATAATGAAAGTTGTAATCTTTAATTAAACTTTAATATTGTATTAAAAATTATATTTTAAACTCAATATTTAAAGAGTTCATCAAAAAATAATAAAAACTTTTTTGACTAAAAAAATACTCTATTTTTAGCTTATAAGTAACTTAAAATTTTTTTCTTTAATATAAATATAAATACTATAAAAAGATAATCTTTATTTTTAAATATTATTATACGAAATTTTATTTAATTCGTAATCTATTTGCAGATCAGTACATGATTAATATATATAACCGTGGAGATAGTAATAATATAACTTTTAATAAGTTTTAAAATCTGTTACTCTATGCAATATCAAAACGTAAAGAACATACAATAACATTAATCTCTCCAGGTTATATTGTTTTAAACTTATATTATAGACCTAGTTGTCATAATTAGTGGTTATTACAACCAACTGAAAAAAACAAAAATCTTATCTTTCTTTATCCAATACGACTCCATATGAAAACCCTAATCACTTTTCAAGAACATGATATTATAACTAAAATAACTGAACCGGAATCAGAGTTTGGGTCTGTACTAGGATATTCTTGTAAATATAATATTTTTAGCGAATTTTCTATATCACTTACTACTGCAATTTCAAATATATATCAAAAAGTTACAAATACTAAAACTAAATTTTCGGGGCCTGCTATTATGGGATTCGATACACCAATTATATCTAAAACTTTCATTCAAAATATACCTTTTCAAGTATATATTATTCCTTTAGAAAAATTAAGAATTTGGGTACTTGGTGTAGGAAAATCAAATAATAATGAATATAATTTTGCTGAAGCCAGGTATAAAGCTGCATTTGTTTATAAATATCAAAATAAACAATGTATATTTTTTGAAGAAATAAATGAGGATGAATGCACTTTACAATTTATAATAATCAAACAATAGTTAAAAAAACTTTTATTGATAGTACTCCCAATTTATTATGGAATAAATTAGACTGTTTAAAGCAATATAGTGGAAAAAAACTTTTTGGTTTAGAAGAACCATATACGCAAAATATAATTTAATCTATTCAAATACCTAATTGCATATTAAATAAATGGAATAATAATGAAAAAATGGAATATGTTTTTAATTATCATTTAAAGCAACGACTTTCAATACAAGTAAATTGGATTGAATTATTTCAACAATGGTTAACAAAAACATCAACTATAATAGAATTACAATCTAGCTTGCAAGCATTATATCCACCTTATCACAAAATAAATGATTGTGAACTACGTGCATGGAAAGCTATATTAAAAGCTACAGAATATACAGAAATCACCCTATTTGATAAAAACCAATCAGTAGTAAGTAAATAATATTTTTAATCTACAAATTAAATAAAAATAATATCAAAAAATATAAAAATATAAAATGCTTCAATACTTATCAATTTTGCATTTAGTTTACATTTTAGTTAAGATCACCAACTCCAGAAATTAACAAAGCAAATTTAGAAATGCTATATAATTTAGGATTTTTAAATCCTATATCAAAACATTTCAAAAATACTATAACAACCTTCTGGAATTGTTTTAATCAAGAATTAAATAACAACAAACGTGGCTCAAATGGCAAAACACGAATACTATCCATTATTGCAAATAATTTTACCTACGAAGATATCAAAGACAATCTTAATGTAAGTATTTTCTTACTTTAATTACTAAGCAATATATTAAAATAAACTTTTCTATAGATATCCAATAATGCAATTAACTATGCATGTAATCATTCTCTTATATATGGGCCTGGAGGTCTATCATTAAACAAACCAATTATAACATATCAAAAAATCTTACCTGAAAATGAACAAAAATTAGATACATTTTTAATAAATAAAGCTTATGTCGTTATGAGTTCATATAAAGTAGACACTGTAACTAATGAACCCGTACATTACCTTAAACATACAAAAGAAAATCTATGGAAAATATATAATGAACAACATGTTTTTTTAAAAAGCTACAAGGTAATAAATATATTTACTATGAAAATTTAGAAGGACTATGCCACACATGTCAGCAATATGGATATGAAATCTTTTCTGATATTAGTGACTTTATTAATAAATATATAATAATCATTTCAGAAAAGGTATCTATAATTTAAAATTTCAAATTAATAATTATAATTTATAAAGTTATAAATATTTTTTTAAATATTAGAAATGATTAATTACCATAGCCGATAATCTAAAAAGATATTTAAAGCGTGATTATGAGCACTATTTTCATATTAACACAAATGGAACTGCCTTTCATGAAATATGTATTAACCATTGCTTACCATATGCATTTGGCCAATGTGCTGAATCTCATACTCATATATGTAGCGAATGCCAAAGGTTTTTTGTTTTTTTTGAGGAAATTAAAAACTATACAGACATTGTACACCATGAGGAGCTTAATGACTTGAGAGAACACTTATTATACTATCTTATGCATCAAACTAGAAAAGTCTATTTAAATGCCCAGTTTAATGCAAATTTATTAGATTTGGATAATAAAACTGCTTTAATTTTGATAGATTACAAAATGAAAATTTTATCTAAAACTGCTCATGAAACAAAAAATAATTGGTTCGGAAAAAAAGGATAGTCTTTATATTCAGTAATAGTGTATACACGACAGTCAGATTTAAATAAACTTCAAATTCAAGTATTTGACTATTGGGCAACTGACACTAAACAGAATTCCTGGTTTATGGCTTCCTTGCTTCATGCAGTACTTGAAAATCTTAATTCAAAACCAAAATCAGTTATTATAATGTCTGATAATAGTGGACATTATCATAATGCTGATTTAATGATAATAGTTCATTTTTGGCCTGAATGATATAATGTAAAAGTCAAAAAATGGATATTTCTTGAGGCGGGAGAGGCAAAAACAGCAATCGACTCTCACTATGCGCAAGTTTGTTATAACTATATTCAGCCCTTTGCTATAAGTATTCAGATATCTGAGAATCAAAAAAATATTGATACTGTAATATATATTTTTGTGATTCTCTGATGTCTAGATAATTATAACAAAGAACTGTACTTATCTAAAATAATTAACTAACTTTCAAATATTACATGTATAGATCTTACATGCTATAAATAGATATGTTTGACTTGGGTTTGATATAGAAACTGGTCAAGATATAGAAAATGCGATTAAAGAAATTCAGGGAACTTCTGTAACACACTTGCAACCTAATCGTACTAGAGGTATATACAATCAAAAAATATACAATGTGAATTAGATAATTATTGAAGCGGCAGTATTTATTATCTAGATTATAGATAGACAATTTTTATATTACTTATATCGGTAATTGCTTAATATTACGTTCAGTTTTTATTATATTTTTTTTTATTTTTTTTTTATTGATTAAGGAGACCTCTTTGGCCTGAAAGCTTTTATTAGGATTTGAAACAGTGTTTTATATGC